GAATATGAAAATCTAACCTTAATTTAGAAATTACCGGCAATACAAAATCCGGCCACCTAATTGTTAACCTTAGCCCTGTATACAGCAGTCGCATCAAATCTGTGCAACTTATATACGTCTAAGTCACAGTGTGTCAATTACGTATTCGTATGCTGATCATTTGTGTGGCGCATGTTTGAAAATTTTTTTCAATTGCTACTCCTCGGCAAAATAAGCAAAAAAAAAAAAATTATAATTTTGTAGACTTTGCTAAAACTACAAAGTTATGAACTTTTTTTTTTTTTCTTACAGATGGTGCCTGTAGCAGGATCCTTAACAATTTTTTTCTTTATACTATTGGGAGGGTATTTTGCCTCATTTTTAGCGTTACAGTATAATTCATTTAACCGATCAGATCACCGAAATGATCTACACAACTGATAATAAATCTATGCTGTATGAGGAAACAATAGCAGATACATAGGTTTTATACTGTACGACTGTAATTCTCTTCTACACAAATTAGATGAAGTGATGGTTACTGATTGGCAAACTAATAATAAATATATGCTTTTCCGTATGAAGAAACAATAGCAGATACACAGGTTTTAAACCGTGTGTACGTGCGTACGTGCTGTAATCCTCTTCTACCCAAATTTTCATGAATAATGGGAATTCAAGGTTTTTCAACATGGATAAGGTACGTACGCTACATTATTTATTCGATGATCTCATTAAACATTGACACTTTATACATTTTATTAGAAAGCAGTATAATGAATTTGTATGGCCTGTCGGGGAAGAATTGTATGTGAATTTTTAGCATCACTTCGATTTAGATTATTTTGTATAAACATATTTATAACTATCTTTCTTTATTAAAAAGCTTTGAAAAAAATCCTATAGCTCGTGTGGATAATTTTTATATCGAAATGAATGAAATTATTCATGAAATTATTCAAAAAAATTTGGGAACAATTGTAGAAAAAAACATTTTTAGCGCAATATGTGACTACGTAAATAAATTGGTTTTAATGGTTAAACCAAAGAAATCAATTTTCATTGTAGTGGATGGTATTTATTTAATTATATATATATAATATATTTTGAAATGCGCTAAGAAAAAATTATAAAATCATATTAAAATTCTTGTATCTTCTTAAATAGGAGTTGCTCCAAGAGCCAAGATGAATGAACAGCGCAGTAGACGGTTTAAAGCAATATGTGTTGGATTTGACACAAACTCTGTTACACCAGGTATAATATTGATATGTGTGTACGTACGTACGTGATTTAAAAATTCTAACTAATGTTTTGGATTTAATTTCTTACACTATAAATCATTAGGAACGACATTTATGGATAATTTTTCAAGTTATTTTAAAGAATTCATTCATAACAAAATTAAAAATGATGATACTTGGAAATGTGTAAAAATTATATACTCGGGCCATGACGTGCCAGGCGAAGGAGAGCATAAGATAATGAAGTACATTCATAATTCTGAATCAAAATCAGATTGCATCTACGGAAGGGATTCAGATCTAATTTTATTGGGGCTTTTGCATTATAAACCAAATCTTAAAATACTTAGTAGTAATGAATTTTTTTTACCTGGGTTAGTAAGCCCTGATTTATATTAATTTATGCCTTTTTGTTATAAAAAATTGAGAAAATTACTTACTATAAAATCTTCTAGCACCAACCTAAATCCTTCAAAAACTTTTGAATTAAAGTTCTTAGGAACTTTACGTAAAAAATTAACGGAAGAATTTTTCAAACTTTGGGAACCTAAGCAACTTTCTTTTGAATTTAAAATTGAAAGCATAATAAAGGATTTTAATTTATTGGTACTTTTTATGGGTAATGATTTTATACCAATGTTGCCAAATATTAATGAAGGGCTTGATTTTATTATTCCGACTTATAAAGAGATGCTAAAGGAAAGTGGTAAGAAAGAAATTGGTTAAAAATTTTTATTAAAGTGTTTCTATTAATCTGATGAATATTTTTATTAACAGGAGGTTATATTAACGATGCTGGAAACTTAAATGTACGAAGACTTGAAAAGATTTTTGAGAAATTGAGCATTCGTGAAAAAGAATTGTTCAACCCAAATAAATTAATTGAAGCAGAAAGTGAGAATGAAGAATTTCTTAGATGGAAACAAAAATATTATAGGAATAAGAAAATGATTAAAGACGGCCAAGATCAAAAAAATTTAGTTAAATCATACATTGAAGGGCTACAATGGGTACTTTCTTATTATGAAGGTGAAATAAATTCTTATAGATGGTTTTACCCTGAACATCATTCGCCACTTATATCAGGTAAGTTTCCGATAGATAGATAATATTAAATGATTATAGCTAAGTAAATTTCATTTCAGATTTGAAAGACTTGGAAACTATTAAAATAAAAAATTTTGAGAGTGAAGATTACTATAAGCCTTTTGAACAATTAATGTTTGTATTGCCTCCTAGAAGCAAAGAGCTTTTACCAGTAGCATACCAGGTATAAAATTAATTTAATACAATTATTATAAATTTAAAATTTAAAATTTAACATGATATTATTTAGAACCTTATGGATGATCCTAGAATTATGGAGTTTTATACTATCGACGAGAGTAAAACCGATAAACTTCCATTTATTAACGAACAAGCACTACTATCTGTGTTAAAATGTAAGTATATAAATTTAATTGTTTACAATGCTTATCGACCCATACTACTATTTTTATTTATCATAGCTGTAGAAAACAAATTGACAAGTGAAGAAAGACAGAGAAATGTATTTAAAGATGCAATCATTTTTGAATATGATAATTCAAGCAAAGAAGCCAAAATGAGTGCGTATGTTATGGAACCTTAAACAGAAACCTATTTAAATTAAAAATATAAAAATTTATTTCAAATAAATATAATAAGCATATTTTTTAAGGCAATTACTAATTTTCACAGGGAAATAATCGGGGGCTATATTTCAAAAACGTATCCCTTAAACCGTTTGAAAATCATGCCAAATTTGGCCTAAATTTTACTATAAAAATACTTCTGATCTATTTTTTT